AACTGTAAAGTATTGATACTAACCCACTTTTTCCAACATAAGCACGTGCACATGCACAAGAATAAGTATGAGACAAGTCCAACCCTTCAAAGAAGCCCCCAGTGGGAGAGTGTAACTTTGTGGCAGTCTTATTGCCATAATTCTAAATACTATTTTAGAACTTACAAAGCTAGTTTCCCAGCCATATGAGAAAACCCAACTCATTACTTTTCACCAAAAACCTTATTACCTAGCTTTCTCCTTCACAAGACCTAAGTTATAACATCTAATGCCAGGTGACTCTTAAAAGTATCCAAAAATCAAATCCACATAGGATGGGATTTTTCACCACTGAGGATATGTGAACAAATGTAAGGCAGGTCTCAGAGTAACTCAGAGGAAGCATTCAAACATGTTTCATGTAATGGCACATTGTTGGGGAAAAAATTTTGAATATATAAATCCAATGTGCCAGTTGCACAGAGTATAAGCTTCCATCTGTACTCTTCAAAAGAGATTCATGGAAGGAAAGGCAATCAGAAGGAGGGGGGTTAGATAGTGATGATACAAAATTTTGTGAATATACTAAAACCACTGTATTGTACACATTGAAGGGTGAATTTTGTAGTATGTAACTTATATATCAAAAAGTTATTGAGATAACGTGTTATTTTTTTTTAAAGGAAGGGACTGTAAACCAAGAGATTGAGTGGGAAGATAGGTTGATTTTAATAAAGTGTGATTAAACAGATTCTGAGCATAATATGCAACTCAAGGAGATTGATTCTAAGATGGTGTTGAGAAAGGGAACCAGGGATATTTTGGAGTATGCTTAAATAGGGTTATGAACTGTAATAGCAAGATTTGGGACAAGCATGAAAGGACAAATATAAGACCCCCATGGGTAGTAAGAAGTAAGATTGGCATAGATACAGAATGAGTGAGGGGCGTGTGTCAGCCACAGAGCACTAAGGCAAGAGTCTTATAACCAGGTAGCCCTAGTCTGCCTTCAGGGTGCCCTCAACTAAAGGCTGAAGAAATCTGAAGTTGACCTTGCAAGGGGTTAGCTAATCAAACTTTCAGCATCAGGAAAGTGTATTTGGAATTTCCGGAAATTTTACTCTCTAATTTCATGGAAAAATAATTTTAAATAGTTCCCTGGAAAATTGCCAGTGAAATTAATAGCCTTATATACCCTTTTCATTTTTCTTTCTCTCATCTATGTTTCTCTTACTAACATTTCTTCCTTATTCTAAGTTCCTACCCTTCCTTGCTTAGCCTACTTCTGCCTCTCCCCTCATCTTTAGATTTATGGAAAGGTTCCTGATGCCCCCAAATTCAGTTATTCAACTCCTTCATAAATATTTCTTGAATGAATATTTCATGACAGAAACCATGAGAGATGCCTGGATCCCTGCCCTCAAAGAGCTCACAGTCTAGTAAGTGCCCTCGGCTCTGGCCTTTTCTATATCCTTTTCTTTCTTCCCTGTATCTTTTCACTGTCAGTCTTTTCTACTCTTCTCTCCCCACCATCACTCCTTACAGTCCATACTAGAGCCTGGGGAATGGAATCCGTTAAGGTAATGCGCAGGAACCATATATCCGAAGAGGATGCTGCTACTGCTGGGATGAGTGCACACAGTGGTGGGAATGGAGAACTCGAGTCATAGGACCTGGAGTTCAAATAATCTACTTTCTAGCTGTATAAATGTTAGGAAGGGGGTATCTGAACCTATCTGAGTCCGTTGCATAGATGAAGAGTAGTACCTACTTAATAAGATCATCTTAAGAGTAAGTGAATCAATATAAGTAAAATGTCCAGCATATTAAGTTCTTCATAAACACTGGCTATTAGATGGTGTCAGTATAAAGGCAATTTTTTTCATTTCGTACTTAGACTCCAAGCAAAGGTTATCAAGCAACCTCATGAAGCTAAACAAGACTTTGAGAAATTTCTACATAAACTGGTATGTTTCTTTTCTGAAAATTCTGAGAATTCTGAGAATTCTTCCTCTAACTTCTCTTATATAGCCTGGACAACTGATTATTTCATAATTAATGTGTACTGTCACACCCAAGTTACAGTGGCAGAACAGAATCCATTCTCATTATTTAATCATCCACATGCACGTTTAAAATAATCTCTGTTTTACACTTGTAGTGACAATCTCGTGCCCACTTTTTCCATTCCTTGCTTCTGACCAGGGACAGTTTATGCAACTGAAAACTTCCAAATACAATTAGAATTCCAAACTAATAGAAAATTACTGGTGTTTGAAGTTGTATTTTATTTTACATTAATAATCCAACAAAAGCATATTGGGTACCAGTGGCTGTATTGTATTAAATAAGTGGTTCCTGCTCTCAATTACTAGAAATAAAAGGCAGAACATGATGGGGTTCTAAACAGGGCTCAAATGTGAGAAAAATAAAGAAGGAAGGAGATGCTTCCATCTTTCTGGTCTTACTTGTCCCCTCCTCCTCTTTACCTGTGTGCAGTCCTGTTAAGGCTAGAGGGCCTCCCTCCCTTCCAACAGACAAGAACGTGTACAGACTAGTTTATAATAAATCTGAAGGTTGGACCATCTGAGGTCAGGAAGAGAAAACAGCCTTTCATTTTCTACTTGTCAGGTTTCCACTCAAAAATTTAACAATCCCATTGTCTACTGGTATAATGTCAAAAATGGGTCAAAGCAAATTCCAAGGTGACAGAAAGTAGTTAAACACTCGGGTGTTGTAGATTCTTTATGGTCACACACAAAAAAATTCTTTCTCCCACTTTCTTGGTCTTTTCCTATCTTTCCTACTATTGACAGAGACATGAGCACAGAGAAATACTAATTTGCTACTAGAAAGCAACAGTGCAAGTGTGCTAATAAAAGGGCAAGTGGCCTAAGGTGGTACATGGTAAATTGGTTGCACATCAGGGCAACTACAAGGAGCTGTGGATACTGTGGTAGACTGGAAAGCCGTGCCTCTAACAAGGCAGCTCCTATCTCCAATCACTGCTGCTGCTTTGCAGGCATGTAGGCCAAAGTGTTCTCAGATATTCCACCAGTCAGTAATCTAGATGATTCTGTAAAATCCCCTGATTTATACTCATGCTTTTAAGTGTTCTGTGGGCCAAAATAAATACAACCAGCTGACCAGATGTGGCCCATGGGCTCCTGATTTGCAAGTGTGCTAATCACTGGTCTAAATGCTGCCTGGATTTGGATCTCTTCAAAAGCTGACTCAAGCCAGTGTACTCATCTTATTTTTCACTACACACCAAAGAAAATCCTTTACTCTCATTGAACCGCTGTACACATCATGTTTGCCAGTACGCACAGGCATTGCTCATCTGCAATATAGGGTGTCCATAAAGTTCGTGTGCAATTTAAAATAGCTGCCTATTTGCACACAAACTTTATGGACACCCTGTATATTTCCCAGATTTCAAATTGTACTCAACCTTTAAGGTCATGTTCAAAGTCCATTTTCTGCATGATACTTTTTGGTAATCGCCTTAGCCCTATCTTTTCCAGACATGCATCTCTCATAATTTCTAGACCACTACTTAGTTATGGCAGGATTGATACATAGTTCTTTTTTTCAAGTCTAAATTCAAAACAAATACAGAATAGATCCCTGGCTTAGAATGGCCACGTGTATTACCCAAAGAAGAGTGAATACTGGGGAATTTTACTCATCTATTGCAAAGAAGGAATCACATGGCAAAACATTTAAATGGAACAGCAAAGCAATTTTCATTTACAGTAATCCAGGTACCTTTAAAGAATTATGTACCAACCACAAATCCTTTGTGACAAAAGGGAACCACAAATCCTGTGCTCAAGAAAGCAGAGGATTATAATTTTAAATAAATTCAAGTCTGAATTATTGGGTTTAAAGAACTCAAAATTCTTTCAAACAATCTGACTTATACATACTTGAGTATTTACCTTTCTACTAAGAACAAAAATGTACCAGTAGTTTATTTTAGAATTGAATATTGGCTCTCCAACTACTTTATGTATGACTGTTGTCCTTTAAGAAATATCACAGCCAGCATTGCCTGGGCCTCTCTAAAGCTGAGATTCTAAATGAAGATGCCTAATCTTTGAGTTGCACATTAATGAACTAAAATAATAATAGAAAATTGTGATAATTTTCTGGATGATTCATGCAATAAAACCACTTTTATCTTAATTATCTGAGTATGTTAGCAAAATGCTTTTTTGTCTAAGTGATCAATGATTTAGGAAGGCTTCTCATAGTTTGTCCATGAGGGAAAACCATTCACAGCCAAGAATTTCTGCACACTCTTGATAAACACAAATAGTGTCACTACCAATCCCAAAATTCACTTTAAGTCTTTTCATATTCACTGTCACCCATACATCTGCACACCTGCCTTATACCAATCCACATATACAAATAAGCCTTGTTAGATATACCAATAAAAGGACATAAAAGCATGAAGGGAATTTCCCAGAAGTAAACATACCTCTTGGATTGGAGAGGCATTTGAGAAATGGCAACAGAATAGGAAGGAAGTAAATTCCATGAACAAACTGAATTATCTGAATTACCACTTAGATAGTACTATTTCAACGTGAAGAGGAGAAGAGATTTAACATCTCTCATCTAAATTTTTATATTTTTCAGGGCCAAAAGAATTGAAAGTGGTTGTTTATGTGATATCACATGGTTTAAAAAGAAATGTCTTAAAGTTTCTTCCTAAATCCCACTTTTGCCAAAAAAAAAAAAAAAAAAAAGTGATCTGTACCATCTTACTAACTGGGGGAATGTCACATCAAGTATACAATGTCTAGACAATCTGTGAATTTCTAATCATACATTCTTTTCATAGCGTACTGAAGCTCACATGGAGAGAGAACTGGTATCAAGGTCATCATCGTCATCATTATCATCATTATCATCAGCATCAGCATCATCAACAATAACAACAGAAGACATGTCTGAGGAAGCAGAAGGCTAAGAGAAACCAGAAATGAACTCTATTCAAGAATAACGCATACAATTCAGTTGTATCAGTTTAATTTAATTCAAGCCCAATCCATTAAGTCAGTATTGAATGTGTTTTACTATTCATCTTTAAAATCTTCAGATCAATAAATCTCAGTAAATTATTCTCAAAAGATCTGTTCAAGCATAATCTTGGCTCATAATAGTATAAACATCATATTTTAAAATGGAAAATAATCATTATAAAGCCCAGAGAACTTCAGCCATTATTTTGGAAATACATCTTGATAATAGCAACTGTTCATCATAATACAAAACAGAAAGAGGATTAATTTACTGTGGCATGGGAAGTCCTGCCAGTTCCTAAATGCCAAAAATAGTTTCTCTTAAGATTTTTTACATTGTTTAAGCCTCAAGGAAAACCAAAGCCCCGCCCCCAGGTTTAGTAGCAAACAAACTCTGTTTCTCCGGTGCTAAGCAGCCATCACTCCTCTGGTAATAAGCTTCGTGCACATTCGCTAGGAAGCTGGGCAGCTTGTCAGCAGATACTATTGATACTGTGCAGCCTCCCCATCCTGCTCCAGTAAGTCGTGACCCTTGAGCCCCAAACTTCCTAAAACAATGAAGAAAAAAAAATTAGAACCTATAAATGAAAATACAAGTGATTTATTTGGTGTTTATATATATAGAACACACATAACCTACCCAAGTTCTGAGAGGAGAATACATGAGGGGTTTCTGGCTGTAGTCAGACATTTTAGGACATTAAGAAATTTATACTAGGCCAAAAGGTGATTTGGAAATTTTTAGTTGTATCTACTGGAAGTCCCTGGTTTCAGCTGCAAGTCAGCAGTATGTTCATTTCATGAGGACTGGCAATAACCCACTGTAGTCTTGATTCCATAAAGTAGCCACTTAAGGAGTTATGTAGGAAGCCTACAAGTAAATTAGGAAGAGGGAGGAAATACAAAATAGGCAATAACAAAAAGAAGTCAGGCAAACCTGAATCTGAAGGTCACACCAAATGAGAATAAATCAAAATTGGGGGGGATTCTGGGAAGATGGCCGACTGGTAGCAACCCTGGTCAGAGGCTCCTGAACAAAGGAAGAAAAACTGGTTGGAATCAGAATCTATGAAGTCA